ATGTTACTTTTTTTTATTTTAAAAATTATATATTTTAATCGCATTTTAAATTTTATAATCTATAATTTATTTAATTTTTATTAAATTAATTAGTTATCTTTAACTTAAACATATAATTATTTGTATTATATTATAATTAATTTTATTAATATATTTTTAATTATTTACTAGTATATAATAATATAAAATATTTAAATTATAAATTTAGTATTATTTTTATTTTTATAGAATAGTATAGAATATTTTTAATCATAAACTTAGTATTATTTTTATAAAATAGTATACAGTTTTCTAAAACATTCACCCTAATTAAAACATCACAGCCTTTGCCTGCAATGCACCATGTTTATGCTCTCCTCCTCTTCTTCTCTTCACGCGTTCGTTGTTGTTCATTGTCCTCTTTGGCTGCTTCTTCGTCTAATTTTGATTTGTTTTCCGTATTTCCCGAGAAAGAGCATTACATTATGTAGTTGTTCTTGTAAAATATTTTGGTTGCACTCGAATTTGACATACTTTTATGTTTCTAAGCACATGAACACTTAGCATACAAATAAGTATTTTTCTTTTTTTTACAACGTGAACCCGCAGCCGCAATTTGAAAATACGTATTGGGTAAACTCCCGTCGAACTTAATACTCCGACACATACATTAAAAAAAAATCAAACGACATTGAAAATTAAGAAGAAGAATTTGTGGGAACAATTAATTAAGGAAAAAAATCAGAAGATGGAATGATAAATCTTTGTCGTGACTTATGCTCTAATTTCATTCCATGAGACATATATCTCATTTAATTTATTTTGTCATTGTCTAACAAAACACACATTACATTCATTAAAGTGCTAAAGAAAAGATCTAGTTTGAAAAAAAGAATGATCACGAAGAAGAAGTAATATTTTGTGGACAAATGCCGTGAACTGACTAACTTGTTGCCCTCCTCAAAACACTGAAATTATACTGGAGTCCGAAAAAGATGATTTCCGATATGTACTCAGTTCGGGACTGACCTGCATATATTTATACGATAATTAAATACTGGAATAGTCGTCTGTAAGAGTGGACTAAACAAACAAGAAATGTATGAAGTAGCACGGATAATGGAGGATGGTGAGCTAGCATATAGAAAAGGCCGGCGAGATTGTTCCTATCAATTCTGAGTTCCTTTCAACACATATATGTTATTCTTAATATGTCCAAAAGTTTAATATAATTCCTTTGAAAGGATATCATGTATAGGAAGTGACACTTGGACCATGAACACTTTTATCTCATCGGTTTAGAGGTCTCATAGGAGTGAACATTCTATTTGAACTAAATCAAATTTCGAGTTTTGATCGATTTTCGATTTGTAAAAATTAAAACTGAAAAAATGAACCAAAATATGCTAAGTTGAACCAAACTAATTCGGTTCGATTTAAAACCGAACAAATAAAATTTTTTGGAATTTTTATGTTAATACTCGAACTCATTTGTTCAATTTATTTTTCATCACCAATATAGATACATCTATCCCCAATACATGTTCCAAACAACTTACAAATTGATCAAATACTTAAGTATATATATTTAAATATCAAAATTATAATATATATAAAATAAAATATTTCTTTTATTTAAAATTCGATTTTTTCGATTTGGAAATTAAAAATCATAACTTGCCGAAACCGAAATTTATAAATTCGATTTTTATTTGTTATGGGTTTTATAAGAAGAAGAGAATGAATAAGATTTATTAGTTATATTATTAAGCTTTCATTTTACTAATTGTGGTTAAATGCTTGCCAAACTTGACCTTGCAATGCTTATAATTTTATTTTTAGAATTTCATATAATTATCTTAGGGTGTGTTTGTTCGGCGGTTTGGATTTTGAGTTGGAATTTGAATAGTAAAAATTTTGAATTTAAACAGTGGTATGATGTGATATAAATAGGTATTGATGTGATATTTTGAATGTAAAATTAATTTTTGATATGATACAAAAGATAAAAAATAGTTATTTAATTTGATATTTTTGAATTTTTATGAATAGTAAAAATCTGGACAAATATCCTATACAAACACATCCCTTAGAGTATTTACATTATTCTGTTTTTCAAAAGTTTGAAAAAAAGGTAAAAAATTGTAAAAAAAAATGTATTTGCTAACACATGCATATTGGATGTTAAATGACCGTCTCATCTAAAAGCTCGAACTATTAAGAAAACGCACAATTAATCATATTTCTAACAATGAGTTAGAAATGAAATCAGCTTATTGATACCGCTAAAATTAATTAATATAATGTTACAATGTGAAATATATATATATACTCCATCCGTTTCAAACACGGTGCAACATTTGTGTTTGGCACGAGAATTTAGGTGAGAAGTATTAAGTATAGTAATTTGAGATAATTTGAATATTAAGTTATGTGATTGAAGAGAGAAATGATTATTTGTTTTTTTACTTGAGTGATGTGATGGGATAAAGTGAAGTATATATTAATATATGTATAAAAATATTATTAATTATTTCTAAATTTGAAAATATTGCAGTGAATTTGAAACAAACAAAAAATGAAATGTTGTAGGGTGTTTGGGACGGAGGAATCATATTATAATGTCACAGTAGGTATATTAAGTAGCATATAATCTAATCTAGCCATATTTTCGGACAATTCAATAATAAAGCAAGAAATTAAATTAGACTTGTGACTATTAGGTTATGGGTTCAAACCCCGATGCCTTAAATCACCTGCCACAATGGTTCGCCTAGTGTGACTTTCCCGTCGGACCTGGTTTGCAGGGTATTAGATTTGGTCGGAGGTTTACCTAATGTGCACTTTCGGGTAGCGACTGCGGATTCTCATGTCATTAAAAAAAAAAATAAAAAATTAAAGTCAGGTCCATTCGATGAATCAAGATTCCAACAACTGTGCATTTGTACAATTTGTAGAATACATTCCAAAATTAATATATATATATATAGTAATATAAAGAAACAAGAATTTACAGGTTCCAGCAACTTTGTAGAATATATTCTAAAGTGATATATATATATATAGAGATAAACAAGTCATTCATATAGATATCTATATATATTATGATCATGCATATAGAGGGTGGGTTTCTTGCTTCTTGTGGAGATCAATTGAGAGAAAAAATTAAAAGGGAAATTAAATATGTTAAAAAATAAATAAATTAACTAGTTTTTTTTATTATTATTATTTAAAAAAAAATGTAAAAGATGCTGTATTTTATTTTATATTTATATATGTTACAATATATATATATTCTCATAAGGCAATGACTTTCCGGTGTTTGGCAACCGTTGGTAATTTGAATCATCAATAAAAATGACGATATAATTCAAGTCCACGAGGGTAAAAGTTGGTCGTTCCCCACCACAATGTCCTACCTTAATTAATATATATATATATATATATATAGCATACAATCTAATCTAGCTTGGTTATATTGTTGGCTAATCAAAAAATAAAACAAAGAAATTAATAAAAGTTAAGGCCAAATCGATCGATCAAGATTCCAACATCTTTACGTATGTACAATCATTTCAAAGTGATGTAGAAAAACAAGAGTGCATTTTTTTAATTGGTGTTAAATGGCTAGTCGATCGATTCAATTCAGTTTAGACACGTGGTTTCTGGCAAGCTATGCGGGCGTCTCCGGCGCCGGAAGACTAAAATATCAAAAAATTTCACTTATAGAACTAGTTTGCATTTACGAGATTAAAATGATAAGGGTTCAGTTACGGGACTAAAAAACAATTTATCCTATAAAAGTTAATATGTTATTATTGATTTTTTGTGAGAAAATAAAATATACACTAGAAATAGTGTAGGAAAATAAAAGTTTTGGACAAACAAAATCAAAATATATCAATTTTTTAAACAAACAAATAAAAAAATTATCGTATTTATTTATGACGGATGGACTGACTGTAATATACTCTTTGTGTCCACTAGTAAATTTTTATTTGTTTAGTATGTTTAAATCAAAACTTTCTTATTTTATTTTTAAAAAAATAACTTTTAACTAAATATCAAAATCTCCTATTTTTTACCTTTCACATTAATTTTTAAAGATAAAATAAACATTATATTATTTTATTGCAGTGTATATTTATAAAACATTAATTTATCTTAATTTACATACAAGAATCAAATTTAAAAAAAAAAACTATCAATGAACAAAGAAAATATGTAAAAAATATATTTATCAATCTATAAAATTCATTTATATTTGAGTTAGATATTTCAGAAAGTATATGAGTTAATTTTGAAATAAGAATTTTTTAAAATAAATTTAGTATGTAAATAGTGGTGGCATAATTGTAAATAAATATAATATTAAAAAATATAAATAAAATAATATATAAAAATTATTTGTTCAAAATAAAAAATACATATTTTGTGGACAAATAAAAAATATATATATAAATTTAATGAAAGAGCAAGTATCAAATATTTATTTAAATTAAAAAAAAAATCAAATTTTAAATTCAATTCAAATTTATTTAAAAAAAAAACCCAACAAAGGTTAATATCTGCATGGGATTCAATCATCCTTTTAAGGTGTGTTTGTTCGGGTTTTTGAGTTTGGATTTTTAAATGGTAATTGTTACGTTCGATTTGATATTTTTTAATATAAAATAAATTTATAATATAATATAAAAAATAATAAATAATTATCTTAATATATTTGGAGGGAGAAAACCTAACAAATCGTGTTTGTTAAAATTTTGTTAGTTTTTCAATGATAGGCCAAAATTGTTTATGATAGAATTAAAATTGATTGAGACTTTTTTTATTATTATTATTGAAGCCAAAATTAAGGACTAATTTAATTTTTTTTTCCTATTTAATAATTATGTTTTGAATGAAAATTTAATTTGTGTGATTTATTAATAAAAAATAAATTTAATCATTTGGAAGGAAAATAAAATTTTGATAAATAGTGTCATTAAAATTAAACTATTGTGGAATGCATAGTTGAAAAGTAAGGCTGAAACTTTGCACGTCACAATAATAAATAAATGGTAAGAAAATTTTCACAAGCAAGTTGGTACGATTGAAAATGAGAAACTAAAGATAAATCCGTACTCCATCCAACTTAAAAATCAGCTATACCTCATAAGCCACTCCTCCAATTGATGGCATTAAAAATCAATCCATCCCTATGATTGTAGGTAGGAACAACAACAGATCTGCAACAAACACTCTTGGGCACATTGCGACGAGCTTCCCGGTCCGACCCATTCAAGGGCGAGAAACATGTTTGCTGCTGCGGCGATCTTTATCTCTCGATGATGAATAAGAAGAGCTGTGGTAATCCCAATCTGCATCAACGATAAGGTTAGATAACAGTCGCCATATATCAATATATACTACATCACTATCCTATAACAGGTGAGGTGAGATTCCAACTATCCAATACATCAATCAACAACTTTAAAGGATAAACGTGTACCTCGAGAAGAATGGCGCTTCGACTTGTCCAACCGACCTGAATAAATAGGAACGGCCATTGTAAGGTAATGAATCCAATACATCATCATCACCATATATATATATATATATGAACACACACACACACAAGAATATATATACTCCCTCTGTCCGCAAACTTGTGTTTACTTTTTCATTTAAATATGCTCAGCAAAATTATGCTAATACCATAAATAGCAACTACTCCCTCCGTCTCACTTAATTCGTCCACTATTTCTATTTTCGTCCATTCCACATAATTTGTCGATTCTTTTTTTCGAAAACATAATTATATACTTCAATTATATTTTAAAATTCACAATTTATATATTTTTTATTTTAATTAAACTATTTAGTCATAATTATTTTTATTAAGTCATAATTATTTTCATTAATACACTTCTTAATTACTTACTAATTACACAATACCTAAAAATCCGCACCTAAATACCCTCATGTATATAACTTTTACTTTTATAGTCGAAAAGTATATACGAACTAACCTGAATCTCTTCCTTTGTCTCTGGAGCGATGTCCTCGATCCTTAACCTTATCTCTGTCCCTGTCACCATCTTCCCGTCCTCCTCCTCCTCCTCGTTCCCTGTCTGATTCTCTCCCTCTGCTCCTCGGTCTCTCTTTGTCCCTCTCTCTTTCTGTCTCTCTCTCCCTTTCCCTCTCTTTCGTCCTTTCTCCACTAGTATCAGTTTTATGATCCGATACCAATTTTGTCTCTGCCTCTTCTCTCGATTCGCCACCACCAACCGTGCCTCTAGATTCATCGTCGCTTTTCTTTGTCTCTTTCAATTTATCGAGAGCAGCCTTGATGAGTTCATCCTTACCGACTTCCTGATTTGAGGACCCTTTTGCAGTATTAGCTTCTTCGTTTGGAGTTGTTCCGGCGGCAGAGTTGTCCTGAGTATACAAATTGTAATTAAGAAGAATGGTGTTATGCAAAGTTAATTTACTTGATGAATGGCAATTACCTTTGGAACTGATTGATTTGGGTCGGGGGTTCGATTGGATGTAGCAAATGAACCCCCTTCCTTACATACGGGTACATATTGCGCCTTTGGAAGGCTGTACAGATGGGCTAGAACTTTGCAAACCTCGTTGATTCCAGCTTTGTCGGCATCAAATGCTTTCCACCACGGAGGATTCTCGGGTAATGGCACTTGGAATCTACGGGCAGCAGCATATACAACACCACAGGCCACTACCTCGCTCTTGAACCTCACGCACAAAGTTGTGCGAAGACTATTCACAAGCAGCAAAAAAAGTAATACAATATCAGAATGGAGTGTAAAATTGCATTGAAGATCATGTAAGCCAAGGTATAATAAGGTATACGTCACGAATTCAAGCAATGATGGATGATATCAGTGAAGGATTTAGCAAGTGCCTGGAAAATGTATGTCGCAATAAGAGCAGTAAAAAATTTATATATGTTTTCAACTTTATTTTTACTATTCATCAATTTTTTGTTTCGGAAAAATATCAGATTGAACATCTATTTTTCATTTTCTATATTATATTAAAAATCAATTTTTACATTCAAAATATAACACATGAAGTTATCCACTATTTGGACACAAATGCTATATGCACATGCTTATTATGTATTAGTGCCCCGAACATTTACCTGTCATTTGCGAGGTTCCAAGCTTCCTGTCGGAGCTCTGGTGGTGTTTCAAGTGTGGCAAGGTAATTAGATATAAATTTATGAGGATGCTCAACGTGACATATGAAGCCCATCTCTTTCAAAAGATGTCGTTCTGTTCGGATCAAATCAGCCTTCAGATCCACATATCTCTGTTAAAGCAACAAACATAGTAATTAAACTAAAACCCTCATTTCTCCCAAATTTCATGTATGAGTACTAGCGGCCAGAATAATCAGAGTAAAGTTTGCTTCTATGCTTCCGATTATATGGTAAAAATTTATGGCTACCTTGGAAGAAGTATCCAAATGTTCTATGGGCAAGTTTTCCCTCCTACATTCCATCCTGTGAAAAACAATAAGAACCTGCCTCGCTTTCCTAGGACTCTCTTCGAGTTTTGAAGCAAGCCAAACACAACTGGCAGCAACTCTCTGCAAGAAAATCGAAATCTCGTTCAAATTTACCAAATAGTAAAGGCCGGGTAAGTTTCAAATGCCATAGTGATGATACGATGGTTTAAAGAAGAATCTGAACTGATATCGTAAAAGATATACTACAGTGTGAATGAACTCAATAGCCATGAAATGGTTATCTTAGGAATGCTGGGAAAAAAGATTTTACCTTCACATTAAATCGTGCAAATGATTTCTTGCAGTAGAATCGATGAAATAGAACCTGGCCGGTGGCCATGACGGCTTGAGGTCTGAAGGAGTTAGTAAAGGAGAATTAGAACTTACTGGGAGAGAAAAATGAATTCCATAAAGTCGATGGCTCGTCTTAATTTTTTTACTACACTAATACTTTATTCACACTAGGGGTGTGTTTGTTTCAAAGTTTTGTAACAAATTCTACTATTCATCAAATTTTTTCCCCAAAAAAACATCAAATCAAATACCTAATTTTTATTTATATTATACTAAAAATTACTTTTACATTAAAAACATCACATCAAAACCTATTTATATCACATTATACAACTATTCAAATTCAAATTTTTTACTATTCAAATTCCAACTCAAAATGCAAACCCTCAAACAAACACACCCTAGGTTTATTAATTACCCTTTAAAAGAGAAAAATCATTATTAGTGAAATCTAGCACAAGTAAAGAATGTATAGACCAATAATACAGAATATAAATTATAATAATAATAATAATAATAATAATAATAATAATAAATCTAATAAGCGGAAGACAACAGAAGAGAGGATACAATTTGAGCAGTATTCCACTCTCCTGTATAAGATCACAGCCGTATATTCGAAGTGTAGCTTCAGTGGCTTCATCAATACCATCTTTGGTAGAAGGTGAGTTCTTCAGCTGCTCATCCGTCAGATAAAATGTATCAATTGCAGTATAAATCATGTTTTGTATTCCACCAATAGGAACAGACCTAGCGAAAACTGCACAGAATGCAGAAAGTATATGAGCTAAAAATACTTAATTGTATAGAATTTGTAAACATACCATAATCCACGTTCTTCTAAAAAACTAGCAGTGGGTGTGAAATATGTCGACAGAGCGCATGCTAAAATCTAGCACATCAATAACTTGAACCACAAAACTCTTTGTTTTCAAATTTCAATGACCTAACCGAATTATAAACCAACTACAGAAATTGCTCGTAACAAAAATCAAAATGATAAGCCTTCAAGATATATGTTCAAAGATTAAGCAAATGAATATTCGATCGTTTGACATGACCATGCCTAATTGTGCAAACCTTGAAAACAATAACAGATTTCAAAAATGAAGTTTCTTTATCGAATTTGAGGGGTTAGAAGTCTTCAAACAAAGATTATTCTTTCAATACTAAAATGACGCGAAAAGATTGAAATATATTAAGGTTATTACTTCACTACACAATTGCTCATTTACTTTATACTTCCACCACTGACCGATCTATTCTTGTTCCTTTTCATCACAAGTACAGAACAAAGGAATACCAACTTTACAATACATGGAACAAAAAACAAAATCAAATAGATCCCATTGAAGAACTCTCTATTCCTAACAAAAACCTACAAGGATCAGACATTTAGCTGTTCACTCGATGTCACGCCAAATTATCAAATTATGAATATGGACTGAATTATGCTATGTAGGATAAATCTCAGAAGGCAATGATAAAAATTCCGAATTCCCTACATTCACTATAACACTGCTAACTACACAAAACTCCCATATTATACAATCAACGACATTTAGACTGAGTATACAAATACAACTAGTAAGCCTACTCTAAAAGCCACTATTTCGTACACAAGAACTAGACAAAAGAGCAGTTTTCAACAAGAAGAATGACTGCATCTGTGTCTATCTATTCGATCACCTAATGCATCACTATTCCTTTAAAGCAAATGACAAAGCCCTATACTCAATCACATCACATAACCATCAATGATAATTACATCACACATCTTAGAAACTGTTCTTCAAACAAATAAATTGCGAACTGAAAAAACAGATCAATGAATCCACTTTCTTACGTATATCTTGAAAAGAATTTCCATTCCACAATGAACACCTTGTCTCGCATAAATTTCATCAAAATAATGGTTACAAGCATAGATTATTTGACAAAATGAGAAACCTAAAGAACCAAAGATCGTTGCAATATTGTGATTCTAAGAAAATTAAACTAGGAAACGACCTATCCCTCGATTAATGCTAAATTAGAGATATCGCCAAAAAAAACCCTAGCCCTAACCCTAAACCCGTTTTAACTCACTGTATTTACCCGCTTGGCTTGTCTACCCTAGAACACGGTTTTCTCTTCTGCCTCTGTTTACGTCGCCAGCCTCCCGTCGTCCGCCATCGCCGTACGGATTACTTTGAGTTGATGCGTGTAGACGCAGGGCGGAGACGAGCAGTCGGCAGCATTTTAAAGTTAGGACTTAGGATTGGGGATTTGGATTTTGATACGATAAATAAAATAAAATAAAATAAAATAAATTTGAATTAAAATAATTGTAATAAATTAGGTGATATAAATTCGTAATATAATGTTTTAAATGTAAAATACTTTCTCCTCCAAAATATTTTGTCCGTGTTACTGTAGACACAGGAATTTATGAAAAGTATAATTAGTAAATAATTAAAAATATATTAGTAATAATAATTATAGTAAAATAAAAATAATTATAAATTAAAATTAAAATAATTAATTAGTATAATTAAAATTTTAAAAATATAAATTAAATTTTTAAAAATAAAATTAAAGTGTATAAATATTTTCCAAAAAAATGAAAGTGACAAAATAAGTGAGACGGACGAAAATAGAAAGGTGAACATAAGAAGTGAGAGGAAAAAAGTAATTTTAATATCATATAAAAAAATAAAAATTAAGTATTTAATTGATAACTTCAGGAAAAAAAAAAAAAAAAAGGAATGAATAATACATATCTCACGGTCACAACAAGTTCACTTTTTACACCAAACCATCTTTTACCATGAGTAATTATATTTAATTTTATAAACACATAGTGTATTTTTTTGATGGATTTGAGAAAATTTTAATTTAGATTTGATATTAAAATAATGCATAATGAAATATTTATAAGGAAAAAAATTAATAATCCCTCAATTCAATTTTTATTGTTCTAAAATATATTTACAGGTATTTTAGGTGATTTTTTTTTTGCTATAGATTAACAAATTTGCTATTAATGATATGGTAGAAATTAAAAATAGTAAATGAATAAAAAGTAAAAAAATAAAATTTGTATTTAAAAAAATAATAATAAAAATATGACAATAATTTTACAAGTTTATTATTCAATGTTCTAATTTTTTATTAGAATTTTTCTTTTTGAAACTTCCTTTCATAATTTTAGTGAAAGCCCAAATTCATATAATGAGAGTCAAGTTTTTATAATTATTTCTTAGAGGCAGGGAATTGGGCCTTTGGGCCCTTTGTGTTCACCTTGGCCCATTTGTGTTCACCTTGGCCCATAAGAAATAAAAACTTGTTTTGTCAATATGAATCAAATATATATACATATTTTTTCTTTGATTATTGGTTAAAACTTGTATTATAATTATAAAAAAATATTTAATTAATCAGATCATATAGAAAATTAAATATATACTTAAAAATTATTAATTTAAAGTGCTTACAACATAACTATTACTATATAATTATTTTTTTTATTATTATTGTTACATGAGAGTAGATATTTTTATTCATAATCCTACCTATTATATTTTTAGATTTGAAATATAAATCAAACACCTCTAGGATAATTTCAAATTTATATACTTCATCCATCTCAATACAATAGTCTTGTTTACCAATTTTGTCCGTCTCAAAACAATAGTATCATTTTTATAAATAATCATATCACTGTAAAATTATCCCTACTTTTTCATTATTATTACACAATTGACACTATATTTTATTCTAATATACTCACAAGGGCAAAAAAAGTCATTTATTCTTACATTTTACCCACTACCAATATAATATCAATATTTCTTAAATTTCGTGCGACAGACTATATTTTTGAGACGGATAGAGTATTTTGCATTAATTGCATGCTTTAATATGTAATTATGATAAATAAAATAATATGCACAGTAATTTTTTTAGTGGATTTAGACACCAATATTAGTAAAAAGGGAGGAATTTACACATTATTATTTGTTGGTATTATAAATCTACAATTATATAGGATTTATTTTATTTTGATTTTAATATTATGTTAGATATAATATTTTGTGGGATAATATATTATATTTTATCATCACATTATTATTTTTACACAGGGTTGTCCAGATGTTTTTAAAGTCCTGAGTAAAAATTAAATAATAAGCTTTAAAAACAAATATTTTTTTTTTTTTTCCGCTAGTGTGGAGTAGATTGTCCGGTCTCATTTGCGAGACATATTTTAACTATTATAAAATTTCACGATATCTTAATTATTAAAACCAATAACTTAATAATAATTACAAAATCTAAAGGCAAAGAATATAAGATTAATTTTTTAAAAAATCCGTTTAGAATTTATTAAAATTATAATTGGATTTGAGATTAATTTTAAAACAAAAAATAGTTAGAGTTTATTAGAATTAAAATTGGATTAGATAATTGTAAATAAAAATACGATATAAAATTTAAATTAAATTTTAATATACTAATAATAATGAGCTTTAAAAATATTTACGAATTTTAAAGGCGAGAAAATAGAATTAAATTTAGAAAATTTCAGTTAAAATTTAATTAAAATTAAATTTGATAATTATCGAGAAAAAAAAAGAGATAAAATCTAAATTAAATAGTAATATATAATAATAGTAAAATTAAATTAAAAAATATAACTCCTATTGAAACAAGACCCTTGGTGTTTTTACACCAAAAGACAATGATAAAATTGTCTTTGCACTACTTCTAAGTATCTAATGCAATTAAAACACCATTAATTTTTTAAATTTTACGCCAAAAATAAATATATATTTTTTAGCTGGATACAAATATTATGTTTTTATTTGAAAATATGATAATTGTATAATAATAATAAAGTGAAACCAATGCTCATTTTCTTGAAGAAAATAGTTGTGTTTGGTTGCTGTTTAAAATTAATTGAAATTGAATATTAATTTAAAATTTTATTTAAATACTTCTTCAATCACATAACAAACTAGTCCGTCACATAATAAATTATTAATTTTTTTTTAGTAGTTATACTATATATTCAACATTACAAATACTCTTACAACTTACAATATGTTACATAAATATCATTACTTTTATATCACGCAATACTAATAAAGATATTTTAGTTATTTCTACTTATTCTTATTATATCCCAATATAATACAAATATTTCTAAAATTATGTACAAAAAGTAAACGGATACATAGTTATGGGACGGAGGGAATAATATTTTTTGTTATAGAAAATAATAATTTCTCTGTTATCCAAATTTATTTTCACTTTTTATTATTATTTTTTTTTGTCAACTAAATTTATTTCCGTTTTCATTTTTAGTAAAAAAATATACTCCCTCCGTCCCGCAGCAAGGTTGTCATTTGGTTTTTGTGTCATTATACTTGACATTAAAAATATCCTTATATTTGAATAATTTACTCTAAAAATTTCATTGTATTGGTATTATAAAAGACTAATAAACATATTCTTGTCTTTTTTTTCTCGATTTGTACTACGTCTTGATATAATATTTAAACTTCAAATATCAACATGCAAAAAACCAATGACAACCTTGCAGCGGAACGGAGGAAGTATCACTTTTTCTACTTTTTTTTTTCCTTAAAAAAATAAAATTTTATATTTTTATCTATTTTTCTTAAAGCTCGAATTTGATCCAATGGGCACACAATTGGATGATAAAAGAGGTATATTTTTATTAAAAATTGGACATAATAAATATTATTAATTTCAATCTAAAATCATAACCAAATATATTAATATTTCATAAATTGATCATCAACTTATTTTTCGTTTAATTGTCTTTTTCAAAAATTTTATTAATAAAAATTAATTAAAAAACATTATGTTCAAAATAATTTTTTTATTTATATTTTTGATAAAAAAAAATAACATTCTTTACTAAATATATTACATTCAATGCTCACTTATATCAGGTTATATACATTGAGTATTTACTATTTTTAAACCATCACAAAATTCCAAAACATTTCTAAAATATATTTAAATTCAATATTTTTTTTCATTAAAAAAAAAAATAAGTCAGCATGTGATGTAAATATATATATATACATATATTTGGATCGAAAAATCCAAAATCAATTGTTATAATATTCTATCACATGGTCACCTGCTGCACATGGTTCGCCTAATGTGACTTTTTTGTCAAGCCTAATTTGCAGGGTATTAGAGGGTTTACTCAATGCACACTTTCGGATAGCGATTGCAGACTCCACGTCATTAAATATATATATATATATATATATAAATATAGTAGCAATATAATTGAAGGAGAGAGAGAGTTTTGATCATGTGCTGTATGGAATTAGGTTGAAATATTTGTTAGCCAACCATGACTAATTATGTACTATCAATTTAATTAATTTAATTTAATAAGCCTCATTTGTATAGAGATTTTTTGTAAGTTTAATTTTGTTTAAGTTATAAATATTTAATTTTTTTTTAATAAATACCACTATATGTATCATCTAAATTTATATTCTATTTTTTTTTATTGTCATCAAAATTTATTTATATTTTCTTATTTAGTAAAAAAAATATAAATTTTCTACTTTTTTTATATAAATAAATTATATTTTTTATATATTTCTTTTTTTTTTTTAACTCGTGCCCGATAAACTAAACATACATTTCAATTACGGAAGGAGTATAAAAAAAATTTAAAATATATTTATAAACATAACCTTAATCTAATGAAAGGGTTCATAATATATAAAATACTCCCTTTGTTCATTAATAATATATCTATTTTTTCATTTTGGTCCGATTCATAACAAAGTATTCGTTTAATTTTTTAGTAATTGTACTATCTACCTAACATTATAAATAACCTTCTAATTTACAATATATTATACAAATATCATTATCTTTATATCATACAATACTAATAGGGTTAATTTAGTCCTTTTATCTTTATTTATATTTTATCTCAATATAATACTAATATTTCTAAAATTTCGTATAAAAAACAAATTGATATATAAATATGAGACAGAAAGTTTATTACTGAGATAGAGTTGGTTAGGCACATTGAGGATGGTATCCTATGCTCCTCCAATCTAATCTAATCTAATCTAATTAATTCAATCTTACTTAATTATTTAATTAATACCTACTATTTTTAATCTCTCAATTTATTCTTCTAAAATATATATATATATATATATATATATATAGAGAGAGAGAGAGAGAAAGCATGGCATGTTACGT